TATCCCAACAAACACCAGCTCTGTCTTCTGGCTAGACGTCAACTTTCATTTTGCTTCCATAGCAGGCCTAGGCAATTCGCTTAGCCCACTGGCAGCTGCTAAAACTCACAGATCATAAAATCTTGAAAGTAAATCTACCATGGAAGCAAACTTATTGCTGTAGCTTTTTTGGTGCTTACAAATCAGCACAATCACTGATGTACTTGGGAGGGAAGGAGATTCGGAGGATGCAGCGAGCTGCGTTTGAAACTTGGTCGTGTCTAAGACCGCAGCTGTTTAACCCTGCACCTCACCATCCGGGTTTTGAGGCAGGAAGCAACAGTGGCACAGCTCACTGAGAACAGGGGAGAACAAGAAGCAAGAGGAAACAACATGCCAGATGAGAATAGGGCTTGGCGGCGAGCCTACAGAGTAAAAAAACAATGAACCTATTTCCCTAATGTCTTCAATAACCTAACTTACCTGAACATTGTGATTAGTGATTCTACTCCAAGGAAATCAAATTGCTAAGGATTACACTGAAATAGGAGAGGGGGTAGATTCATCTACTTCCTCCTCTATTGCATTTTCTCTCTATTCAATGTGAGTTTTCCCTCTTGTCATGAGAAAAATAATCTTTATGCTTAAAGAGGGTAGAGACCCGAGATACAGTACAGAGAGCTGGATGCCTACCTCACACACATCTAACCTGGGTTCGATCTCCAGCATTCCCTATCATCCCCGGGCCCACCAGGGGTGATCCCTAAACCAAGAGCCAGGAGTTAAATCCTGAGCACAATGCAATGTGACCCAAAAACAAAAAGCAAAACAAAGAAATTGAATTCAAAAAGCTTCTGTTCTCAGGGCGGAGCAATAGTACAACAAGTAGGGCATTTGCCTTGCACACCATCTACTCGGGTTCAATCCCTGGCATCCCGTATGGTCCCCCAAGCATCGCCAGGAGTAATTCCTGAGAACATAGCCAGAAGTAACCCTGAGCATCACTAGGTATGGACCAAAAAAAAAAAAAAAAGCTTATGTTCTCATAATAAGAAACCATACTAAATAAATCCTTTATTGTACCCCCCCCCAGCAAGAAAAATAATGAGTAGCAAAAAATAAAATCAGTAATACAAGCTCTTCATTCAACTTCTTGGTTTTCTTTCCTCCTCCATATCTCCAACAATTTATTTACAAAAAACAAATCCTGTCCTTACAGTGGGGGAGGGAGGCCGACCCTGGAGGTGGAGGTTGGCACAGCAACAGCAGATACATCATCAATCACTAAGTCTTTTTTATTTAATCATGTCTTCATAAAAATTAAAATTTATGTAGCACTGCATAGTTTTTATGCATGCCTGCCTGATTTTCCTACAATGGCTTGGTGAGGTGACAGGGTGAATGTCCTTATTTCCATTTGATGGATGAGGAAAATAATGCCGTAACTGCAGTCCCATCTTCCTGGATACCGACCACCATGCCAGCATAGGGATTTCTCAACCCTGCAATACTGAATTTCTAACCAGATCATACTTTGCTCAATGGGAGGTTTTTCAGCACTCTTGGCCTCGACCCTTTAGAAACAAGTAATACTGCCTCTACCTCCCCCTCTCCCACTCAATTTGATGCAACCAATTATACTCTTATCCCCAAAATACAACTCTCTTCATGGGTGTAATCATACCCAGCTGAGAAACTTGAATCTTCCTGAGCCAAAACAAATTACACAGCCTCAGATGCTGCTTGCTCAGCAAAATTCTGTTTATTAACTACTCCACCCACTAAAAATCATTTAACTGAAGATTAACAATGACAAAAAAACTCCCTTTTATGAATATACACATCTCAGATAGTAAACCTTCTAAATGCAAATAATTTCAAAAGAACAGAGTAATAATTATGTGTATCAAAGATATATAAAATATGTGTGATTAGGAAAAAAAACATCAAAATAATAAGATACCACAGCCTCTGGTCTTTGCCAATAACCTGTACTAATTGAGCTACATCTCTGTGTCCCCTCTATAAAAATGGCTAAAAACCTACACATGTTCTCAATACCTTTTCAGCGGGGTTTCTGTCCAAATATATAGTTGCTTTATGTTATTCAGAAGAAATCGAGTGATAACTTTGGAACATTACTAAAAGCTGTGGTCTGCAGCTGAAACCACTAGTGTTTGTGAACCCAAAATCTAAACTGACAGACCTCACAGTCCTATTTAGAAGATTCAGTGTAAGTTCCTTTGTGCCACATAATCTGAGTCTGTTCCTACAAAAGCAACTCCATCCTCAAAATTCACCAGGTTTTTAGCAAAGGCCTTAATTGAAAAGATTCTGCAACTTAATTCCCCTGAACATTTTAAATCTGCAAAGGACAGATAACAAATGATCAGAAGAGAATTATAACACTTGCTGAACTGATATTATTGCCTAAACTACAGAAATTGAAATGTAGTGATATTTTGGTACAGGTCTGAATTATTTCATCTGTATATGTATTAATACTAACACCCTCTATTATCTTTTTCTGAAGGGAATAATCAGGCTGTTGTGGATGGAAGAAGCTATTCAAATCAGCATTATTCAATCTGCTGTGGAATGCACACGGCAATTCTAGTATTTAAAAATACCATTTGTGCAGTTATTTAGAGAAACTAAGATATGGTGCAAGTGTGGTAGAATTAAGAGATTGTGATCAATCCTCTTTGTAACAGCTGAAGTTATGCAGGTATTAAGTCTTGAAATGTAATTTGATTTTTGTTTTGTTTTTGAGGCCACACCCGGCTGTGCTCAGAGCTTACTTCTGAGACTGTACTGGGTTACTCCCGGAGGCGCAGGGGAAATGGGGTGCCAGGATTGAAGGGGGGTGGGCGCCTGTGCAAGGCACAGGTGTCATGCCCGCTCTCCAGGCCCTTGACATGTAACTAGAATCCACATATAGGAGACATTTATTCCATATTACAAAGCAAACTGGTGCCCCCACAGTCTCTATCTTCACCACAAAGTACAAAAAAAAAAAAAAGAGAACACACTGATTCTCAAAACTCCCCAAAGTCTTTGCAGTCCACAAAAACAAACACAAGGATGTATTTAAAAAAAAAAAATGTAAATCGGGTTTGGAAAAGGGGGAAACAAAGATTCAATCAATACAAACTTCTCATCCTAAATCGACCCCCCTTCACACAAACACACAGACACACACACACAGGCACACACACACACACACACCACTTCCTGCCTGTACCCCAAACCCCAAACCCGGTCGGAACAAAAAAAAAAAAACAACCGGCCAACAAACAAGCAATGATCACATCAAATTGCTTTTGCACCGGACTCATTCCTTAGCCACCCAAAGGTCCCTAATGTTTTCCTCCCCCCTGGCCGCGCCCCCCGCCCCCCGCGAAGTAACACCAACGGCATACATACAGCTGTAAACGGCGACACAAAAATATAGACAAATACGGTTGTTAAAAAAAAAAAACAACACTCTTGCTAATTACGTCCAACGCGGAAGAGAGTCGGAGACGGGCGCCCAGAGACCCCCCTCCCCTCCACCTTGGATCTCGCCTCCCCCCATCCCCCAGAAGAGTCCCCCTTAGGGATGACCCCGCGGGCGGTCACGAGGGGGGGGGTGAGGAGGGAGAGCGTCGCCCTGCTACAGCGGGGGTCCGGGGGTCTTCTCCCGGGGCTGCGGGGTGAGCGCGCGCGAGGTCCTCACTGGGGAGGGAAGGGTGTACTCGCTGGGGGGGGGGGTCTTCTCAGCGGGGGGTCCTCGCTGCTGGGTCCTCTCCGTGGCATCCTCACTGCACTGGAGGGTCCTCGCTGGAGGGGGGTCCCTCAATGCAGGTCCTCGATGGGGGGGATCCTCACTGGGGGGTCCTCTCTGGAGGGTCCTCACTGGGGAGGGTCCTCTCTGGAGCAGCTTCTCTCTGAAGGGTCCCTCAATGCAGATCCTCGATGGGGGGGATCCTCACTGAGGGAGTCCTCACTGGGGGAGTCCTCACTGGGGGGTCCTCTCTGGAGGGTCCTCACTGAGGGTCCTCACAAGGGATCCTCACAAGGGGTCCTCACTGGAGCAGCTTCTCTCTGGAGGGTCCTCACTGAGGGTCCTCGCTGCGGGGTCCTCACTGGGGGGTCCTCACTGGGGCAGCTCCTCTCTGGAGGGTCCTCGCTGCGGGGTCCTCACTAGGGGGGTCCTCACTGAGGGTCCTCACAAGGGGTCCTCACTGGGGCAGCTCCTCTCTGGAGGGTCCTCGCTGCGGGGTCCTCACTAGGGGGGTCCTCACTGAGGGTCCTCACGAGGGATCCTCACAAGGGGTTCTCACTGGAGCAGCTTCTCTCTGGAGGGTCCTCACTGAGGGTCCTCGCTGCGGGGTCCTCACTGGGGGGTCCTCACTGAGGGTCCTCACTGGAGCAGCTCCTCTCTGGAGGGTCCTCACTGAGGATCCTCGCTGCGGGGTCCTCACTAGGGGGGTCCTCACTGAGGGTCCTCACAAGGGGTCCTCACTGGGGCAGCTCCTCTCTGGAGGGTCCTCGCTGCGGGGTCTCGGAGGTGCGCGGCCGCCCGGGGGGGGGGGGGGCGCGCATAGGGACTCGCTCAGCCCGCAGCTCCTCTCGCCGGGGGTCGCAGCCACCTCGCGGCCTGCCTCCCCCGCCCCCCACACACACACGCCCCCCAGAGGAGCGGGCCGCGGAGGGGGGCGTTTCCCGGCTCCCCCGCGGGCCGGACCCCCGCGCTCGGGACGCGGGGACTTTCCCCCGGCCGGGCCGCCCCGCTCCTCCTCCGCCCCCGCCGCCCAAGTTCTCGGCGCGGCGGCCGAACGCCGGCGAGTGCGGGCGGCGCAAACAGGATGTCGGCGCGTCGCGAGCGCCGCGGCCACAGCTCTCGGGGCGCGGGCGGGGGGCGGCCGGCCGGCCGGCGCGCCCGGAAACCCCCCGCCGGCCCCGGGGCTCCCTCCCCTCGGGCGCCGGCCGCCGCGTCCCGTCCGGTCAGCGCCGCGCCGCCGCCTCCCCTCGCGGACACTCACCACTTCCGCGTGCGCCGGGAGGCTCCGGGGGGCCGCGCGGGTCGGGTCGCGCGGCCGAGGGCGCTCGGGGGCGGCCGGCCCCACGGGGCCCCGCGGGAGCGCGTCAGGGGGCGCCGCGGACGGGGGTCGCGCAGAGGGCGACCGGGGCTGAGGCGCGGGCCCGCGCGCTCTGCTGCTCCGCCGCCGCCGCCGCCGCTGCCGCCGCCGCCGCGGCCTGCGCTCGGCCCCGCCCCCGTGACGTCACGGGAGGGCTCGCCCCGCCCCCGGCCCGCCCCGCGTGACGTCACGAGCGGGTGTGCGGGCTGCGGTCCGCGCCGCCCACGCGCGCGCGCGACCCGGGGCCGGCCTCGCCCCGCCCCGCCCCTCGCTCCTCTGCTGGTTGGTTTGTTGTCTTTTGGGTTTGTGTTGTGTTTTTTTTTTTTTACCCCCTCTGACCCTATCTTCTAGAAACACCGAGTCTCGGGCTAAGAGGTCAGCCCGCAGGTCAGATGGTCCCCAGGGGGCCCTAGAGGGACACCGGCGGGATGAAGACGGCCACCCCGGAAAGCGCTGGATGGCTTTCCTCAAGGTCCCCTGGCACAGGGAGTGATGCCTGAACACAGAGCCATGAATAAGCTTGAGTACCACCACATTTGAGCCCGCAGCAAATCAAGCAAGCATCTCTTTATTTTTCCTTATTTCAGAAAGTTTGTACAGCTCATCAGATGTTTGGTTGCCAGTACTGGCGTGGACATGAGGACAAAGGGACGCTCTTCAATTGTTGGTGGGAAAGACAACTGGTTCAGCCTTTTTGGAAAACAATGTGGGCATTCCTTTAAAAAAAAAAAAAACTAGAAATTGAGCTTCCGTGTGACACCACAATACCACTTCTTGGACTATATCCCGAGGGTGCAAAAAAGTGCAGTAGAAATGACAACTGGGGGCTGGAGCGATAGCACAGCGGGTAGGGCATTTGCCTTGCACGCAGCCAACATGACCGACACAGGTTCCATTCCCAGCACCCCATATGGTCCCCTGAGCACCGCCAGGAGCAATTCCTGAGTGCATGAGCCAGGAGTAACCCCTGAGCATCGCCGGGTGTGACCCAAAAAGCAAAAAAAAAAAAAAAAAATGACAACTGTCCATTGTCCCGACGTGGGACAGGATCTGAAACAGTGATTCCTCCTGCTGAGTTGCGGCAGAACCAATCCATGCTGGGTTTAATTGGAGTTGGGAGACTGACATCTGTATGTTGTATGGACACACACTTGGCGTGGAACAAATGGTTGTGGGGCACATGTTTGGCACTTTTTGTTTTGTAGTCTTTCCTGAAAAATGGGTAAGAGCCTCATTTTAGGCAGGAGGAAGGCTAATCCTGGCCATCTGTATCTCTCCAAGTCCATTCACAGGTCACCTGGAAGCATTTGCCCCATCAGCCATCTGAAGGAAAGCAAACACCCTTTAAATTGTCACTCTGCGTGCACTGCAGTCTCTAGTTCGTCCTTCACCAAGATTTTTCAAAATCCTAAACCCTTTGTAAAACATTGCAGGGCCATCTCGCCTGCTCCTACTTTGGCTGAAAACCTTCTTTGGTCAGCACATCGGACCTGGCCTCCATAGCCTTACCTACTCCACCAGCTCTGATTCCACTTCCCCTGCTTGGCTGATGGCTGAATATTACTTACCTCATTCCGAATAAGAAGAAGAGTGTGTGTGTGTGGGGGGGGGGGGGGGAGTTGGTGCATAAAAGAGTAGGGCGTTTGCCTTGCATGTGGCCTACCCGGGTTCGATTCTCAGCATCCTATATGGTCCCCCAGCACCGCCAGAGTGTAAAGCCAGGAGTAATCCCTGTGCATCGCCGGGTGTGATCAAAAAAGCCAAAATAAATAAAATAAAAATAAAAGAAGAGAGGGTAGGGGCTGGAGCGATAGCACAGCGGGTAGGGTGTTTGCCTTGCATGCGGCCGACCCGGGTTCGATTCCCAGCATCCCATATGGTCCCCTGAGCACCGCCATGGGTGGTTCCTGAGAGCAGAGCCAGGAGTGACCCCTGTGCATTGCCAGGTGTGACCCAAAAAGAAAAAAAAAAAGTTATCATACTGTTTCCTCTATTTACCTTTAACTCTACCCCTTTTGTTTAATTGACCTAACTTCTAACTTGGTCATAGATTTTTAAAATTTCCAAAATAACAGTGGTAGGGCGTTTGCCTTGCGCACAGCCAGCGGCCAATCCGGGTTCAATTCCTCCACTCCTCTCAGAGAGCCCAGCAAGCTACTGAGAGTATTTTTGCCAGCACGGCAAAACCTGGCAAGCTACCCGTGTTGTATTCAATATGCCAAACACGGTAACAACAAGTCTCACAATGGAGACGTTACTGGTGCCCGCTCGAGCAAACTGATGAACAATGGGAGGACAGTGCTCAGTGCTAAACTTGCTCAATGAAGAACCAAAAAAAAAAAAAAAAGAATTTAGTCCCAGGTATCCTTCCAGGAGCTGAGGACTGGAGGGAGGGAAGGGGGGAGGACTCAGTTCCTGCCCTCTCAGGTTCTCATCATAGAGGGGGAAGGGGGACAAACAAGTGACAATTGGGGATGTTTCATGCTCTTCTCAAAATGATCTCAGAGGACTAGAGTGATAGTACAGCAAATAGGACATCTGCCTTGCACGCAGCTGACTCGGGTCAGTCCCTGATGTCCTATATGGTCCCCCGAGCACTGCCAGAAGTAATTTCTGAGCACAGAACCAGAAAGTACCCCTGAGCATCACCAGGTGTGGTACCCCCCAGCAAAAAAAAAAAAAAAAAGATCTCAGAGGACAATCCCCACAACCAGCCTGGAGCAGAGAAGTAGCCAGGGTGACAGTGGCAGGAGAAATGAGGATGTCACGTGGTTGGGCGGTGACAAAACAGGAGCCTTCTGGATAAAGAAACTTTCGCTTTTAAAGAGTGTGTTTTTGAGATATTTAAGCAATTTTTTTTCTTTTACAAGAATCTTTTCAACCTCAGCTGGATTGACCCTTGGGGACAGAAAATCATTTCAGGATGAGGGCTGTCCCATCCATCATAGGGTGTTTGGTGTGTAGTGCTAGATGCCGGTAGCGAGTCCTCTCATCCCCGGCTCCCCTCTGGCCCATCGCCATGACCAAATATGCCTGCAGAGATTACCACATGTCCCCTGAGAGGAAAAAAAATCACCCCTGTTGAGAACCATTAGTCAAGGGATAATGTGCAAGATGGATTGGAGGACAAGGAGAAGCATTGCATCATGCTGTTGAGTCAAAAGCTGCAAGTGATGGGAACAAAGAAGGCAGTGGAAGACAGAGGGACACAAGTGCCACATAAAGCCAGGCAGGTGCAAAGGACAATGTGTGTGACTGTTTAGACATGTACTGGGGCCTGGGGAAGAAGTCCATGTGACTTCCAAGATTTCTGAATTACTTGCTAAGTAATTAATAAGAGGGACTGGGCCTCTTTCACCCAGATCCCCAGTAGCTGGGCAGTTACACCACAAACTGCCCCCGGCACCATGAAATCCCATCAACGGACAAGATCCAGAGACTATAAAACAAAGCTCCTGGACCTCTTATAGTCTAGTTCTCCTTCTCGGAGAATCCGGCAAGCTACCAAGAGTATCCGCCAGCACGGCAGAGCCTGGCAAACTCCTGTGGCATATTTGATATGCCAAAAATAATAACAATGATGTGTCTCATTCCCCTGACCCTGAAAGAGCCTCCAATGTGGCACCATTGGAAAGGACGAGTAAAGAGAGGCTGCTAAAATCTCAGGGCTAGCGAAAACAGATGACTGGTTAAAGAAACTTTGGTACATCTACACAATGGAGTACTATGCAGCTGTTAGAAAAGATGAAGTCATGAAATTTACATACAAATGGTACTACATGGAAAGTATCATGCTAAGTGAAATGAGTCAGAAAGAGAGGGACAGACATAGAAAGATTGCATTCATCTGGGGAATATAAAGTAACAAAATAGGAGACTAACATCCAAGAATAGTCAAGATAAGTACCAGGAGGTTCATTTCATGGCTTGAAGTCCAGCCGCACATGCTAGGGGAAAGGGCAGCTCAGATAGAGAAGGGAACACCAAGTAAAGGGTGTTGGGAGGATCCTCCCAAGATGGGAGATACATGCTGAAAGTAGACTATAGACCGAACATGATTGCCACTCAATGCCTCTTTTGCAATCCACAGCACCCAAAAGGAGAGAGAGAACAAAAGGGAACGCCCTGCCACAGAGGCGGGGTGGGATGGAAGGTGGGGGCGTGGGAGGGATACTGGGATCAGTGGTGGTGGAGAATGGGCACTGGTGGAGGGATTGGTACTCGATCATTGTGTAACTGAAATCCAAGCACAAAAACTTGTAAGTCCACAACTATACCTCATAGTGTTTCACTAATAAAAATTTTAAAATAAATAAATAAAATCTCAGAGCTATTACTGGTGCCTGCTTGAGCAAATTGATGAATAATGGGATGACAGTGATACAGTGATACTTACTAAGTTGACCAGGAACAAATTGAATGAGCAATTCAATTTTATGTTGGAGAGGAGAGACATGTATCTGTCTGCTTCCCTTTTTTTGTTGTTGTAATGTCCAACAGTGGGTCAGGTGCTTGATTGTTAGGGATCTTCCTTGGTGAGGCGGGGCGGCCTTGGGGATTGAACTCATGCCCCAGAAGGAAATGAAAAGATTGTTTTTGTTTGTTTGGTTGGTTGGTTTTGGTGGATTTGAGTTTTGTTGTTTGGGTTTTGGTTTTGGAGCATGCCCAGTAGATTAGACTCTTCCCTGGCAGGACTGGGGACTGGACAGCCTCCTGCAAGCGAAACCCATTAAACTGTCTTGCCCACCCAAAGGTTTAGTATTGTGTTAGCTTGGTTGGTTTGTTGCTTGGTTTGTTTTAGTACCAGGAATTAAACCCAGGGTGTCACACATGCAAGGCAAGTGATCTACTGCTTAGCTACATCTCTGGTGCTAAGAATAGAGATTGTTTTTTGGGGCTTTTTGTTTGATTTTTTAAAGACACTCTAGGGACTGGAGCAATAGTACAGCAGGTAGGTCATTTGCCTTGCACACGGCTCACCCGGGTTCGATCCCCAGCACCCCATATGGTCCCCTGAGCACCGCCAGGAGTAATTCCTGAGTGCAAAGCCAGGAGTAACCACTGTGCATCGCAGGGTGTGACCCAAAAATA